TATATATATATATTGTATGTACACTCTTTACGTTGCATTAGGTCCACTGTCACATTGTTATTCATGGACTTTCGATGCATGTTTGCCAACAGGTAACGTCTCTTACAAAATTTCCCACGGGTAAAACGTTATAAACCAAAATACTGTAATTCTTGTAATCACTTCTATAACTCAGAAAAATAAAACAGGAAGTCGTAATATTGTTCTATAGTAGGAGATGTTTACTGGTAGGTTCGTTGTTTTAAACTTTTAATTACTGATTAAGCAAACTTATGAGAATTGTAACAGGGAATCTGTAAGTGCGATCTATCGAGTATCTTATTCTGTCCATATCATTGCGCTTATATATTAACGGTGAGCTGGGTTATAGCCTTCAGCATGCCGCAAGCAAATATAAACTAAATACCCATATTATTTACAAATACATTCAACATTTCCATTCTATTTGTCCCACTTAATGTTCCGAAACTTCAAACACAAATGGCAATGTTGGCTCCTTCGATCTCATACGACAGAGGAAAATCTAACCTTTCTCTCAAGACGCCTCTTTCCTAAATCCTGAGAATTATCACACCTGACAAATATTCTTGGCGTTTTCATTTTCACGGTCTGCGAATCCAGATTGAAATTCATTCACAGGTCACAGACTATATGACACTTCACAAGCCCAAATTTTACGTCATAGTGACAATTCAAATGGCATGTGATTACAAAATTCTGACTCTCGTATTTTATAATTATTTCATTTAACAACTGTTTCAAAACTGCAATTTGCGGCCTCAGCTGTTTGTAAACTCGGCTCGTTTATCTGCGATATCTGAATTACACAGTGCGAAGATTATGACGTCACGTCCGATTCCAGTGCCTCGTACCGCTCGTCAACACTCAAACCGTCGCAGATTTCACCCTAAATATAAATTAAATTTAAATATCCAATAATTTAATTAAATTCTGCATCATTAGTTATCACGTTACGTGCGCAAGAAAAGATTAGTTGAATAAAATTTTTATTTCGTGTAGAAGTAGCCAGAATATGTTTGATAACATTACGTTACCGTTATTTTAAAGTTTGTTAGATAATCACTAACTAATATAAGTCGAGACGAGTCCGCAGTGGAATAAATCCGAGGATATTACTACAGCGTAAAAATTCTCAGACTGACGACATCGCACAAATACCATTACGACTTTCCCTTCATAAATTACAAAACCGAATTCATTAATTATTTCATCTTGCACATTGTACATTAACGCTAAACCTACGGAGTCTATATAATTGATTTGTTGCATGATATAAGATACAGACGGTCACTTTAATTCCTTTTCTAACCAGTCTATTATAAAAATCTAATTAAGCATTCCTTCATTAAATCCTACAATTCTGTTTTATTTGGTCCTCTCTTTATAAATTACTCCCTAAATATTCACCATCAATTTTTTTCTATTACATTCAATAATAAACTAGATCTATTTAATGCACAATTTGGTCAGTAATACCAACTGCTATTGTATTAATTCTCTTTTATGTTTGATTGACACACGAATTAGAGTACGACACGGCTAGATAAATTATCTACAGAATGGTCCGTAATTCCTTCGGTCCCCAGAAATATTAACTGGTTACAGAGTGATCACTCTTTAGTAGACCAAGTTTTCTACTCGAACTACGGGTCCTTCAGTAAAACAATTAAGCCCCTAATTCACTAGCTCACACACACACACACACTCTAATACAACACTGAAACAAATCAGAACTATTACGCTTACAATCTTGGTGTTTCAGCATGATTGATATCAGAAATCCCTACAGGCGAAATTTCCTATACTTCAGAATACTACTATGTACTTTATGTACGTCACAAGATATGTACACATCGTCGGAATTTTAATATATTTCTTTAAATGCACCAATTTAGTCATTAATTTCCATAATTTCATATAAACTCGTGCATTCGTACACTTCTAACGTGCAGAAACTCTAATGGATGCTACGGGCTTTCAAATTCTGCACTGACCATAATGAGGGAATTATGTACAGACATAACAGTAAATTTACCGCAAAGATGTTTAACTGTAAACATCTTAAATGAGATACATATGGTACAGTTCTTAGACGGAAACCAAAGATCACTACACTCAGTTTACGTCACGTAAAATTCTACACTTTCGATGAAAGACAGCAGGAAGAGATGTTGAACAGAAAATTTAAAAAAAAAACACGTCCTTTCGTTGTTCGCTTGTTTCTATGATAAAACATTTCATAGTCAAACCTTTCACAATTGTAGCCACGAACAAGACGCATTGTTGCGTAGCCAGCGACGCGGTGAGAAACGAGGAACTGGGCAACTAACTGACAGGCGGTAGCAGTTCCCAGATATTCCGTAAGATGGCACCGAATTTAAAACACTAAAATTCGTTTAATAACGAAACATTTTATTTGAAATTTCAAGGTCATCAGTATCTGAAACGCGTACAATCAAATCGCGAACCTGTATTCCATTATCAGATGTAAATAATAAACCAATCCGCAATTTATCTTCCGAAAAAGTACGAAAGTTTGAGAGCTGTAATCTTCAAACGTAAAAATTATTTGTAGCCAAAAGCCACGAGGTCTGACAATGAAGGAACACTTATAAATACAAAAACACATGAATAATATATTACGGCCATTTCTAATTTCTGTAGAACATGCCGTTGCAATTAAATAGAACAATTAGGTTTTAATTGGCTACTCCCGTAGTTTTTCTAAACGAAATTTCAGCTCCTAAAAGCGGTATAATTTCAGAATTACCAACAAATTGACACTGACTACCCACTGGAAGAATAAGACTCAGAGCACAAGCCGATAAAGCATAATCACACTGCAGTGTCCTCTACGAGTAAGGTCGGCCGAGGGCCCGGGCCCCTGTCCTACTTATACCGGATAAATAAAGGACACGCTAACAACTGACAACAAAAGAACGTGACGGTAACAATCAACAGCAGCGCCAACACAGAGTAGACGACAGCGAGGTGAACTAGTGCAAACAGGTACAGCGTCTTGTGGCACCATCTGTTGGGTTCGAACAGCGTCGGCTCGTACTCGGGCCAGGCGATGTGGAGGACCCAGTAGTTCCCCAGCGCAAACCAAACGGCGAGGAAGAGGGACAGAGCCGCTGACACCACCCGCGTACCAGCAGATGGCGTTAGTGCGCCGTCGTCCATACTCGAGACGGGAGTTGTGAGGTCCAGGAGCTCGTAACGCCGCGACCTTATCTGTCTCCATAGCAACCACAGCATCTTGAGCGTGCCGAAACTTCCGCCTACCAGCATGTACACTGGAACGTGAGGCTCCACGGGGCAGTCCCGCAGAAACTGCACCCCTGCGACACATCGATATCTCGAATATATCGATCGGCAAAACGACAGTATTGCAACGTGAATCATGCGGTGGATTTCGGGATATTGCAAGGAAAGTAATGCAATGTGAAAAGGACAATTATTCGGCTGGTTCTAATGAGACATTCCTGTAAAAAGCGACGTCTTGCACATATCGATAGTCGACACAGACAGAAATGCTTGCAGGACCAATAAATGCACGTTGATGAGCGGAATTGGAAATAAAAAAATGTGGAACACAATAGGACGCAAACGACGGGAGAGAAGGTCGATATTTCAGAAGCAAGGAGAGTGCATCATGAAGACGAAAATCATTGCGTGCATTACGACACAGGGCGCACGACAATCGACTTAAAACACAGAACTACATAACGCACACGAGGGGAAAAAAAACAGCTGATAAAATAAAAATAACGACGTGCTACTTAGCAGACGATAAACAGGGCAACATTCAAGAAAGATGCTGGATCTACAGGTAAAAGATAAATAAAAAATACTCATCCACCGTCAACAAATGCTTCTCATTCGCATTTAATTTCGTCTAAATACGTGTTACTTCCAAGAATTGTTTCAGCTAGCTTTGTTTAGATTGTGTACGAGAGATATGCAGTTATAAATGCGTGTTGAGTTCCACGTCTTGTCCATATCGATGTATTTCAACACGCACTTCAAAAAACATCGATTCTCGATACACATGTTGCATCTAAAATATAAATATTTCCCTCTATAGCCCTAAAATTGCATTCGCGAAGATGAAAGATTGAGATTCTCAGCTGACATCGATTAAACAAACTAAGTTAGCGAAAAGTGTTTATTTAATATAACTTAAATCTGCGTATTTCCTTATAGTGGCCTCAAAAAGAGAAAAGAATGCATTTAAATACTTCGTTAATCCAGTTTTAGGCTGTTTAATAGCCGAATTAGACTTAGAATTTCACCCAAAAAAGTCTTATTTGGACAAAAATAGTTTCCAATTTGATTAATGTATTTTTAGTAAGGACTCAGGCCCAGATAGTTTACCTAAAGTCCCCTAATAGCTCCGCCATCTTAAAATACTTGGCGACCCAGGGATTCAACAAAAACATTGCAGACGACATAAAACAATTGACACAATGCACTTCGATCAATTCAACACTAAATACAGGCAGACCATCCACAATACCATGCAGCATAAGCTAACGTAACACTCACCCATGATGAGCATTATCAACGGAAGTGACGTCAGACACACCAGCGCCACTGTGACCACAACTGAAACAAACGGGAAACATCTGAAGTCCACTCGGTTTTCGTTAAAAGCGTCATTGTTCTTGCGTTCTTCTTGAAAATAAATTCCTGCATTTAAATAATTACTTAGATAAGACTGCAAAAGAATAAGATCTACATGACCAAATGCAAAATTTCCCGCATAGACTGCGAAAAAACTTCCTTTACGAAATCAGAGTCAAAACAAAGTTTTTTATGAAATCTTAACTGTGACGAGTAACACGATAATTTCTTAAATAAAATGTTTCGACAGGAGTAATATAAATCACTGAATACACAGTCCAGTCTCTTCTATCTGCAGCTTCCAAGAACAGCACGTGTCAGATGAATCAGGTTTCACTGTAGATTCTTGTCGCAATTACATTTATGACAAACTCAATATCCGTGACCAGCAGCCTGTGAGCTCATTTTCCACTCACTGAATACTGCCTTTTTTCCCCATTAGAAATGATATAGAACAGAAGAGACAGTCGCGCATTCTGGTGTAGCTTCGAGGAGTCTCATCTCCCATTCCTTCTGTGTGCTCTTTGCCTTTTTACATCCATTAATCCTAGCTTACATAATATCTTCCGTTCATTCATTTGTCGAATGTTCACATCACGAAATAATAACAGCAAAGTAACGCACAGCGATACGTATTTTTCAGAAGCGTCTGTTATTGTCAATGGCTTCGAGGTTCATTTATTGCAGACACAAATCTATTGTTACAAAAGACAATCAGAATAAAGATATCACACTGCAAAAATACATCTTCAACATCGATAATTGTTTCAGTTAAAATAACATATTTTTATGATTATCAAATCTAAAACTTCTTGACGATGGTGAAGAGTCAATTGAATAAAAATTTACTTGGATATTATCCATCGTCTAGTAAATATAAAACGTAAAACGTAAACTTATAAAACATAAAAACGAGGGTTCGAACGTGTGACCACTTCTTTCAAGAGCTTTCTCGACTAGAAGTTTGAAAAAAAAAAAAATAGGCGTATTAACTTTGCTGCTTCTCCAATGTCTCTCAGTTCGCATTAAGTAACTCAAGAACAGCTAAATAGATCCTCATAAAATTTTATAGACGGCAGTTTTGCTAAATTTTGTCGACATATTCCAATTTGGGTTAAAATCGGACAGAAATTATGGTAACTTTACACGAAGAATTGCACGAGCGAGAATGAAATTGTGTGGGGAATCCCCAGGCCACCTCGGCTACTACCATAGTCACTGGCGCAATCTGTAAAGATCGACAGCCGAAGTATGACGTACACACCGCAATTACTTCGCCATGCGTACGTTTCCTAACTTTCATTTTTGTGTTATCCTCCCGTGCTTTGCGTTAGGCTGATCCCCTACCCAAGGAACAGGCCACAGAGGATCTAATCCATGGCAGGTAAAGGATAAGAAAACGAAGAAGCTATTTGGTTAGCTACAACAGCTATTTATCGCCATCGGTGGACTAGTGGTTAGCGTGCTCGCCACTGGACCCAAGGTTCGCGGGTTCAATCCCCGGCCGAGGTCGATGGATTTTTAAGGGTGATGGAAGTTAAGCCGGCTGTCCTACGTCGTAGATTTACGGCATATAAAAGAACCTTACGAGATGTTTCGTAAGAAAAATTCAGCGGCCAAACTGTTAGATGGCTCTGGCAGTCATATCAGGATTGAGTAGAAATTGTGCAGAGTCAACCAAGAAACCTCCTGAAAGGAGGCGGCGAAAACCCACAACAACAGCAAAGCTATTTAGTCTGTCGGAAGATGAAAACGAATAAGAAATCAGAAACATAACACGTCATAAGGCAAAGCCGCTCACCTGTCTTGTACACGATACGTAGCGCCCGGCACACAAAGTCACAGGTTCCTGAAGCTTCCATGTTGGCGTCCTTCAGCTGAAAGACCACAGAACCGCAGGCAGTGAGCCCCATATCAGAGGTGAGTTTCGTGCGCTCACACAAATGGCGCCTGTCGTCAGCAGACACCTGCAGCAGCAACAGACGTTTCGGCCCATAAAATTACGACGTTTCGACATTGTTTCTACTCCAACTATCACGGGCTGCAATGAGGCCCGTCGTATTATTGCACACATTATTAATGGCGCTGAAGTCTGCGCGTGATAAACCTACCTGGCTGACATTACTGCTTGCTCGTCGAGATTCGACGTCTGTCCAGGAGGACGTGCCGCTGTATCCAAGGTTTATCTGAGCTCCCCTAGCAGACACGGACATTCTGTACGGGGAAAGGCTCCTAGTGAGGCTCTCTGTACCACGGGACGTGCCTGAGGAAAATCACAACACACCGTATTCATCTGATATAAAACGGCCTCTCAGCACTACGCTAACATTTCTAGACACCGCAGCCCTAAATCGAAATAATGCATCAAGACCATGAAGAATGAGCTCAAATTCCTTACACGCGTGTGTTTTGCCAACAACTTAAAACAATTTAAAATTACTCGCTCCCGGACTTAAGCATCACGACATGAAGCCTATGGCAGGACTGGAGGTAAAATAAACCCACGCAGGTGGAGACGATTATTCAAACCCCTCGCCCCACACTTCCATCTGCAACCTAAAAGCCGAGGAGGAGAGATGTGCGAAACGCCCAATCGATCGAGTCACGCGTCGTTAAGATGAAACCTAATAATTCGAAATTCAGTTCTGGAAGACTGGAATTTTGAGACTGATTTATACTGGCGAAGTAGACGAGGGTGTGCCACAGGGCGTGTCGTAAACACTGCAAAGGTTCTTCGCAGCGGGTCCCCTAACGCACGTTGTGACTCCTGAGGACGATAAATACAGCAAGAAATAGGAAACTGCTTACTCAATCCACGAGATAATTAGCTTGCCTGATAGGTATCAGGCACTTCCGAGTTTATTCTTGTGTTAATTATGAACATAAATAACCTTCGGGCTCTCTAAGCCACCTCGTTAGTAATGAACATAAATATTCAGCAAACTCTAAGATTGCCAATTTGTAATAGTAGTCTCGTTTTAAGAACAGGTAGTTTGTCACTTTCAAGTCCAGCAGTAAAATTATATATTGGCAGTTGGCAGTACTGACCTGGCAGCTCTGTGTCCAAGAAGCCAGGACCACGCTCCAAAGTGGCCTCTACTATTCCAGCAGCAGAGACGATGCTTCCCCGTGGACTCCTCCTACCTCCTCCTTCCAGTATCAGGCTTCCCCTTGCACTCCGGTTAAACGTTTCCGGAGTCAAGCTGTTTCTTGGACCCCGGTTTGAATCCGGAGTTATAATGTTTCTTGGACTCCGGTTTGAATCCGGAATCAAACTGTTTCTTGGACTCCGATTCGAATCCGGAATTAAACTGTTTCTTGGACTCCGGTTCGAATCCGGAATTAAACTGTTTCTTGGACTCCGGTTTGAATCCGGAATTAAACTGTTTCTTGGACTCCGGTTTGAATCCGGAATTAAACTGTTTCTTGGACTCCGGTTTGAATCCGGAATTAAACTGTTTCTTGGACTCCGGTTTGAATCCGGAATTAAACTGTTTCTTGGGCTTCGGTTCGAGTCCGGAATTAAACTATTTCTTGGACTCCGGTTCGAATCCGGAATTAAACTGTTTCTTGGGCTTCGATTCTGATCGGGGATCAAACTGTTTCTGGGACTCGTCCTGGGCGTTTCCGGGACGAGACTGTGTCTGGGACTCCGGTTTGGTTCCGAGACGACATCGCCTCCGATACTGCCTCGCGGGCTTCTATTCGGGGAGACACCTCCGCCTTCGTACTCCGTTGTCGAGCTTCGGCTGTCAGAGGCTCCCACAGCAACACTCGCTCGACGTGCCCTCGCATTGGTATTGGTGCTGCCTCTTGTGGAGCGGGATGGAAGTGTCCCCCTCTGTGGAGAGCTCGCCGAACTGCTTCCAGCACTGCGAGACGCTCTGCGCCTTCGCGATGACGTCCGATGGAGCATTGTTGTGAAGTCTGAGACTAAAAATCACTGTCTCCTGCTAGACTCCAGCTCTCATCTGCAAACAAAACACAGCACGCAGTGAGTTTCAGCGTTCAAAGGCTAATATGTAACACCTGCTTTGGCAATCAACAATCCACAAATTGTATTTATGAATTAAGTAAGATTTTCAATATAAACAGCGATTACTTTCTTAAACATTATTAGTAAAATGATCGTTGTTTCCTTTGCGGTAGGAGCTAAATGTGTAAGTGTTATTTAGTGCGCTTGGCTTCAAAGGGCTAATCATGGTATCATTCAAAGCCAAATAAAGCCAGCCACTTACAGCGTCGTTAAACAAACCACAAATAAATAAACCAATAAGACAGGTGTTTATCCATAGCGTAAAATGTGTCAGCTGCTTCGAGCTTGGTTTGATTTCATTTCCCACAAATAAAATATTTCACCCCACATTTTTGTGGCGTTCTTGAGGAGTAAAGTGTTGTATCATCACATACAGTTATCTCCTTGACGCTAAGAATACATACAAATTTCTCTACATCGCCATCTTAACATCTGAATCTCCATTTTCGATACCGAAGATCTTCTTTAATTATTGTGTAAGGATCTCCCATTAGACCCAGAGTATATTTCCGGTCTGGTCACAGGAATCACTTCCGGATTAGTTAAGTGCGGTTCAGATCTTCAAGAGATCGATTTCTCAGGGTCGTCGCAGGGGGCGGACCAGTCGGTTAATCAGGGCTCTGGGATGTAGACAACACAGCTAATTAATATCCGCCGTGAACACTGTTAGCTACTCGCAACACCGAACGGCCGCAAATCCAAAAAACTGAATTTTTTTATCTAAGCAATCAGTTTTAGTGTTCATTCCACCCCCACAACAACAAAAAAACCAATTACTCTTTTCTCACAAGCCTAAATTTCTATGGTTTGATAAATCAAACTAACCACGTAACTGTTGTCACTCTCGAATATCTGAACTTTGCCAATTTTCAAACAAATGACTGCTTTTACCAGTCGTTATGACGTCAGATATAAGTTCCTTCCGGAAAGTCTTTCCTACAGTTCACTGGAACTGAATTGGATCTGCGGATTTATAAATCGACTGCATTTACCAGAGACGTATACTCTTTCAGGCTTAAGTAAGAGAAATTGAACAATCAAATTGGCCGGTAAGTCCCTCATTGAATTACCCACGGAAAGAACTTTAAAGTTCAGAAGCAGAAGAACGAAAGTTGAGGCAACAGGCGTAGGATCACTGAGGGCAAATAAGGCGAGACACCCTGTACGCTCTCGCGTTTTCCACCAGTCACCGAACATTGCAAAGCAAATACGCCGACTTGAAGCAAGCCACTGTCTCCGAGCGAGTCCCAAGAACTTCTCATAATGCTCACCCGTTACGTCCTCCGAAATTCCGGCGTCTGAGGCCGAGCGAAGTTAATGAACTGGTTCGAACCACGTCACTTCCGGACATATCAGATCCCTTCCCAAGACCCATTGCCCTCCGATTCCTGGAACACTTCATTTTCTTTCCATCCCATTCCCGAAGGAGAAAAGCTACAGTGCAAACCATCTCCTGCCTGTGATGGTTACGTTATTACAGCGGCTTTCAAATAAAAATAAATGACCGTATTCACATTTATAAACAGGAAATTTTTGCCAAAATCAAATTTATAAAACAAAATTTCGTGCCTATCAGAGTTATATACCCAGCCCATAGTAGGCTCATGGAAGTTACCGCCCAAATAATACAATTATCAGTTTTAAAAAAACATGCAATTCACAGTTGGTGGCAAATTTAAAAAAAAAAAA